CGTGCCACATTGCCAGAGAAGGACGACGCGACCGAGAAGCTCGAGTCACAGCGGCGGCGGCTGGAGCTCATGGTGCGGAAGCGTTGTTCGAGGCGCTGCTGGGCTTCGAGCACGTCGGGCTCGTCGTTCTGGAGCATCCCGTGCTCGCGCAGCATGTCTTCGTACCGGTACTCTTCCTGGTTCTCGTTGAGCGTCGACATGGTCACGAGGTCCGTCGAGAGCGTTCGGCCCTTTGGCAGCGGCGGCCGGCCCACGGGCGACTTGTTGCTCATGGGCGACGGCGGCACGGGCTTGACGGACGACGACGCAGACGCCTCGGGGCTCTCGAAAATGCTGCTCGTGACCTGCACGACCGTGTTCACCAGATCCGAGAAGCCAAACGACATGTCAAGACGCGTTTTGGCGTCGCTCGGGCGCCGGTGGCGGATGCCTTCGTCAAAGTCGTTGGCAAAGTGATGCGCACGGACGAGCGACTCGCGCGTCGAGGTCGACGACGTCGAGACCGTCGACGCAGTCGAGTTGGCGCGCGTCTTCCCGATCGGTGGCCGCCGCGGTCGGTGCAAGCGTGGCCGACCAGGGCTCACGGCCGGCAAGTCGTGCGCCACAACAGTCGAATGGTGCGGCACCAATTCGTCAACGAACGAAATCTCGCTAGCCGACCGCACGCGGGCCAGTGTCACCTTCATGACCTCGAGCTCGGCTTGCATCTTGCGGTTGGCTTCTTCCAGCGCGGTTTTTTGCGCGAGCTCCGACTCGACCTTCTTGAGCTGATCCTGGAGCTTCTTCTTGTCGGCTTGGAGTGCGTGGACATTACGCAATTCGCGCCGCAGCTCGAGGAGCGCTCGCATCGCGACACGGCGGCGCCATTGGCACTGAAGGCGGATGATGCGCCGACGCGAACGAAGGTAGGCCGCTTGGCACAGCCACCGCCGCACGTGCTTTTGCACGATCGTGGCCATCTTGGTCTCGCGCATGAACTGGACCACGACCTTTGCCGCCAACTGGCGGTGCTTGGACTGCAGCTTGAGCAGCGCGCGGCGAAAACTCTGGTACTGGCGCAGCGCAATGTGCATGCGCGCCCACGTCTGAATGCGAAGGCACGCGCGGGCTTCGGTCCGTGCTCGGCGCTCGACGCGTGCCACGTAGCAGCGGTACGCGCACTGGGCGACGAGCGCGGCGGCCCGGAGCGCCACATACGCCCGCCGCGCGACGCTGCCGCGGTAGATGCGCTGGGCGTGGACCGCGGCATGGGAAAACACGCGGCGCTTGAGCGTCTCGAGGTCTTCGAACGCGCGTCGGCGCATAAAGACGCGCGTCTTCCCGAGACTAATGTGCTGGTGGTTGAGCGGCCTACGTGAACGTCAGAGACAATGGCGCATTGGCGGCGGCGCACCGGGGCGCGGTCGACGACTGGAGTGCGTCAACCACGAGAATAAACTCGGGCAGCATCGCAAGCTCGTGCGCCTGCGTGTAGGCCGCGATGTCCGGCACACGAATGCGCGCGACGAGGCTGCCGTAGCTGTGAAGAAACTCCTTGTGGGTGAGGCGGACTGGGAACCCGGCGCGGGCGACCTTGACGGCTTCGAGGACGCCGCCGCTTCGAAGCTGCTCGACGGTCCGCGGCCGGTGGAGGGCACCGGGGGCGTTGGCGTCGTTGGGCTTGATGCAGCGCACGTAGTGCGGACACGTGGTCTCGATCGTGCTGAGGAGCTCGGCGAGCTGCGTCTTGAACTGGTCGGCGACGTTGACTGCGCCGATCGCCGAGTTGACGTTCGCACGCCGCTTGGACGGGGCCTAGACAAAACAACGCAGTTCATAACTGGCTTGGGATACAAAATGGTAGCGTACAGCGGCAGCGGTAGCGGCCTGGGCACTGTAGATCTCTTGAAGGACGCCGTTCTCGGCCGACCCGAGAAGGTCCACGAGCGACTCGAGAAGCGCATCTTTGTTCTTGTCGAGGAAGCCGTCGACCGAGTAGACCACCGGGCCAGCGTAGTGGAGGACGGTGAATTGGCCGTCACGGAGGTGGGCAGGGCTGGCAGCAAACATAGCGTTCTTGTCGTTGAACTCTTTGTAGTACTTGGTCGCGAGCGCGCGGTCGCTGCCTTTCGGGACCTACATGTCCTGTATGAGTATCAACTTTGTATCAAGTGGCGAGATATACGACGTACGCGGCACTCTTGGTCGAGGAGCGAGAAGAGACCGATGGGCTTCTTCTCAAAAAGCTCGATGCACGGCACGTTGTCCGGAAATGCAATGAACTCCCACGCAATGTGCTCGGCGTCGTACAGCTTTTGCTCCGTCTTGAACACATACGTGTTGAACTGTTGCTGGAGCGACTCGTTGGCGTAGTTGATACAGAGCTGCTCAAACGAGTTGATGGCCATGATCTCAAACCCGAAAATGTCGAGGAGGCCAATGAGGTGCGTCGCCGACGTCGCGCCAGCGATCGATTGGTTGACGCGCGCAACGAGCCACGCAAAGAGGCTCTTGTACGCTTCCATGGCGAGTGCGTTCCGCGCCGTCTTGGCCTGGCCCGCGCTCATGCCCATGACAAACACCTCGCCGTTCGTGCGGATCGAGCGCTTCGTCAGCGCCTTCTGGATGTCCATGGGCGGTACGTGCAGCAGCTTGGCCGCCGTGTAGAGGTGCCCGAGCGACGCCTCGGTGACGAACGCTGTCCGCATCGCCGGGTCCGAGTCGTCGGTCGTATGGAACGCCACGTTGCCGAGGTGCAGGATCGCAACGACGACGGCAAAGATGTCTTCCATCTGCCGGCCGGGAATGCCAATGTCGCGCATCGCCTGGAGCGTGATTGGAAACTGATCGATGTCGAGGACGCCGTCGCGCCGCTCCATGCAGCCGCTTTGGTTGAGGAAGTCGAATGCACTCAGTGGTACGAGGTTCCAGTCGTGGAATTTGCGCCGGAGGTCGAGGCCGTCGATCGAAGGCAGCGAGATCTTCTTGCGCTGCTTCTTGGGCGGCAGTTGGAGCTCGTGCATGGTCGCGATGAGCTCGTAAAAGATGTGAAAGTTGCGCTCGGTGGGCGACTGCGTCACGACGCGGACCTTCTCGAGAAGGTACGTGCGGATGTTGGCGCCGACAATGACGCAGTGCGACGACGACGACGGCGTGAACTGCACCTCGATGAATTTACCAAACCGACTGCTGTTGTCGTTCCGGACCGTGCGTGCATTCCCAAACGCTTCCAGGACGGGGTTCGACTGCAGCACTTGCGACTCGATGGACGGCCGACCATCGTCATTGGCGCTGTCGTTGCCGGCCGACATGCGCGCGAGGTAGTTCATAATGATCTTGGTCGCTTCCGTCTTGCCAGCGCCCGACTCGCCGCTGATGAGGATCGCTTGGTTGCGTCCGTGGCGCGTCATGTCGAGGTACGCGCGCTTCCCGATCGTGTACAGATGCGGCGGGAGGCCCTCGTCAAGACCAAAGTCGCCCATGTGCGACGTCGCGCTATACCGCGCCATGATGTCGTCGCCGTACAAGGCGAGGCTCTTGAACGGGTTGATCGAGAGCAAAATGTCGCCAATCTTGGTGTAAATGTCGTCGCGATCGTACCGGCTCGAGAGCGCCTGGAGGATCGAGGCCTCGTGCAGATGCGGGAGCGTGATGAGATCGGCGTTCTGCTCTTCGTCCTCGGCGCGGTTGCGCAGAAGCACGTTCGTGCTCACGCCGTCCTTGTCGGTCACGAGCACGACGGTCTCGGTCGCGCCCGTCGCGTCGCGCACGAGCGTGAGGCCGGCGCCGTCCTGGCCGACCACGGTGGCCGCAGCCCAGATGGCCTCGTCGTCGGCGACCCATACATGCGCGCCCACTTCCATCGTCGTCGAAGCGCGGCTTGGCCTTTCTGTGCGTCAAGAGGTTTTTTGCCGTGTGCCAGCGCTGGGGGCACCTTGACTGCCAGGACGGGAGACATGTCTTAGTGCTTTTCTGAGTGGCCATTGAAGGGTCCCTTGCCCGATTCCTATTGGCGCCCGCAGGCATTTTTAGCTGGTCGTCGCGCATGTGATTGGCGGGTTGATTTTAAACTACGTGTTTGTATGTGAAGATGGCAGCAGGTCCATCGCGCGTCGTTGGCCTCCAGCGTCGCCTCGCTCGTGACAGTGGGTCTATATTGGGAGGTTTTTGCACTCGACCACGTTGCCAAGGGCTCTCGACTCTACAACCTTATTGCTACGGATCGTAGTACTTCACAGGACTTATCGGCGTCGCACGCTGCCCAACATTATTCGGCGAGAAACGCAGTCCACCTCGCGTGCGTCCAGAACCGAAGGAGATGCTCTCGCAACATGCCCCAAGATGGCAGAAATGGGTGGGCCGCTTTCGCACAAATTCAGCTGCAAGGCATGGGGGCCGCGGCTGCGTATCAAAGTTGTGCGTCGCGCTGGCCACGTGGAGCTGCGAAGTGGACAATGAGCAATTGCATCGTTGTTGATGGCGCAATTTTGCTGACAGAATTATGGGCAGGAGGGGCTAGTGAGCGAGAGCTACTCGGTGACCACATTGTTTCACTGGACAGCGGACGGAATTTGGTGATGGGACTCGAGTCAACGAAGCTTCTCTTGCGCAAAAATACGAGACCATTGGCGACTGCTTCGAGAGCTCATTCCTCATGGGTCTGATTCACGACCGTCGCAGGATTGCCCCGTCGCTCTGGAGTGCTTCTAGATCGCCTTGAGTTTGCCCCGGGGCACGACGGTCCGACCTGGTCGCGCGATCCGATTTTATTTATTTTTATAATAAAAACAGCGGTTGTAGCCAGATGGAAGTAATAAAATGCAAGATTTCCTCTTGGTGTTTGTATGCTCGTCGCCAATGCGCGATAAAAATGCAACCCTCAAGAGGCCGATGATTGGCTGCCGTTTAAAATTATAGCCAATCCGCGGCCTGCCCCAGCCCTACGTCGCCCCGTCGCCACTTGACTTGGTGTTTGTATGTCGAGCGGTTGGCCGCGACGCAGCCGTTCTCATTTCGCAAGTCGCCGGCTTCCGACTCCGCTTCTCCGCAAACGACTAGGTCTTCCGAGCCCTAAGGCCGAGAAGTAGAGCATACACAGCAGCTACAGCAGCATCATCATGGCCCTGGAGACTAAGGCGTCGCTGGCGACGCTCGCGCAGGCGCAGTACCAAGGGTTCACGCAGTTGCTGCAGACGTTCGATGGGCGCGTCCACGAACACGAGACGCTCTTGGGCGTAAGCCCCATGACTGGCAAGGTAAGCCACGCTTTTTCCGAGTGCATATATACACGGCGCGAAGTTGGCGTCTGGCATCGATACAGTGGACATGGGGTCAAACACGTATCGTTGGTCATGATGAGGCGACCGCTACTGCACATGGCGCAACCGAGCACGGAAGCGCATGGGGCGACCCGAGCTCGGAAGTGCATGGCGCACGCATCTACACGCATATTCCTTGACATTGCCTATGCACCTGTGGCCGGATGATTCATATATGTTTCGTGTCAGGCCTGTGGGAAGCGCAAGCGCACGGAGAATGGCAAGCCCATGTACACGACCGCGCGCCCGGTCAACAGCCAAGAAACCACGCTCCTCGCCATCTGCGACAAGGACTGCATCCTTCTCGAGGGGCCAAACTGCATTCCCGACTTTATGGCTCTGTTTGCCAGCGCCAAGACGGTACGACCACCAACGCGTCTGCACTGCTCATACGCCTATGTGCGTAGGAACCCGACCAGGCCAAGCTCTTGCACGTACTCGAGGCGACGGCCAAGAAGGGCACGCCGCACGCGGCCGCCGTGGTTGCTGCTTTTGAGAGCACGGGCGGCATGAAGACGGCCAAGGCATGGCTCGAAGCCGCCGTGGCCTTCAACCAGACGACCTTCCTGCACCTCGTCTTGACGGTGCTGAAAGCGCTGCCCGTGACGCTCGCGAGCATCACGGAAGCGCGCATCAACGAGCCGATCGTCGCGCTGCGCAAGTCGCCGCCGAACGACGTGGTGAAGCGGTCGGCCCAAGACCTCCTCAAGTCGTGGCGCACCAAGTTTACAGAGAAGCCGGCGCCTCCTGCCAAGGGCAACTCGAGTCCGCCATCGAAGCAGTCGTCCCCGACATCGGCAGCCGCAACGCCCGTGGCCGCAGCGCCGGCCGTCTCGGCCCGCGTGCCCACGAAGAGCAACACGCTGCTGACCAACCTCCTCATGAAGCCCAAGGAAACCAAGATTACCAAGGCCAAGGACACAACGCTGACCAAGATGCTCCAGCAAAAGCAGCTCAAAGACAAAGAAGGTACTGTTCGCACAACACGCTTTGTAGCATGCCGCTCATCCTTGCTCTAGGTGTCTCGGCGGCCGCATCGTCGCCGATCGGGAAGGGCCTCGCCCTGCCCGCGATTGTAAGCTTTGGCGACGTCAAGACGACCGACGCACCGGCCGTCACGAGCAAGAAGCGCATCCGTTGGGCCGACAACCACGGCAAGGACCTCACACAGGTCAAGCTCATCGAGTCATGGCGCGACATCGTGTACCACACGGAAGCCGACGACGAGCTCGCACCGCCGCCGGCCGCCGCGCCGCACCACGACGTACGTTCGACCTCTCTTGGCCTTCCTGTGCTCATGCAACGATATAGAGTTTCAAGGACGCCAAGCTCCGCGAGCACGCCAACGAAAAGCACGCCTTTCAGCAGTACGCGACCGAATCTATCGAGCCAAATGTGCTCATCTATCGGCCTAGTAAACACACAGAGCGTCTGGCGCCCATCAAGCCGACGATGGAGTGGCGTACGCCGCTGGTTATCCAGCTGCCGCACGACGTTGCGGGCCGCGTGGCCGACCACACAACGAACGAAACGACGGCCCAAGCGGCGCGGACGCGCAAGGACGTCGAGTGGATCTTGCTGGGCAACGAAGTGCCGCCGTCGACGCCGCACGAGTGGACGCGGTCGTCGGCCGATGTGTTTTTGGGGCCGGCCGCGCGCATTGCGCTCGCAGATGGCTCGCCCGAAGACCACCGCCACGATGTATATGCGCCGGTGATGGCGGCCGACACGGCGACCGTGGCCAGTGTCTTGTCGACGCTGGAGAAGACGACCGTGGCGCTCCTCTTGGACAACGAGCACGTGCTGGCCCAAGTGTACGACGAGGTGTTGCGCACGCGCCGCCGCATCTCGGACGCGCGCATCTGTGAGATTGTCGAGGCCAGTCGGTCGACGCAAGGCTACCATCACCATAACAGCTATAGCACAGAAAGTTCGAGTAGAAATCCGTCGACGTACGTCGAATTCGGCGCCAAGAAGCGCGGGTATGACGGCGGGTACAGCGAGCCCGCGGGGTATGCGGCCAAGCGCCACCAGCCCGCGGCGCCCATGTACAGCCCGCCGCCGTCGTCGTATGCGTCCGAAACCGACGCTGCCTTTGGCCGTTCCGCACCGACAACGGACCGACCGCGGTACCGCAAGGTGCCGTGCAAGCATTACCGCACGCCGCGTGGCTGCAAGAAGGGCGACGGGTGCCCGTTCGTGCACGAGGGCGCGCCCAGCCACATGCAAACGGGCGGGCGCCCGTCGGCCTTTGACAATGCGTACGGTCGGGGCGGCTACGGCAACCAAGCTCGACCAACCAACGGCGGCCGCGGCTACTAGGTTAGGACGACTAACGTAATTTAGCAACCACACGGGGAAAGATATCGCTTTTTACACATAAACTAACATGAATGACGGAATGACTACGCCTTACATTTGGCTTTTGGTGGTGGCGACTAGAGTGCCCAACCAGAAGCGTCTCTCACAACTTGTTGCTCGGCCCTTCTTATGCAGGCATGCAGCGCGGCTTCAGCTTTGACATTGCAGTTTCGATGGTGCTTTAAGTGCGTAAACGCATAGCAATGTTCGATACGTTTACGAGCAGCTGCGATTTTCCTGTGAACGCACGCGTGTGAGCGGCTCGCCGACGCAAGTGCCAACGACGACGTCGGGCAGCTCGCTGGATGCAAGGTGGAGGCGGACTATCTTCGCTTACGAGTTCCCAGAGGGCGTCGCGACCGAGTGAGGCGTGGTGATATGATGTTGAATGACAGGACACACATCGAAAGGTGCAGTACTCAGATTAACGTCATAGAGGCTTCCTGGGCTGGCCATGCCCCTTGCATCGAATGTGCTTCGTTCTCCCGTAGAGGCTGTAGAAGCAGCTTGCCGACGCATCCGACCATAGAGCTCACGACGCACGCGGACTGGACGAACGACGACGAATCAAGCAGCTTGTCGCGACGAGTTTCTTTTGTAGCTGGGTTGAGTTGCAGCCGCAACTTGTCTGGAGCAACTGAGAGGAAGCCACGTCATGGATATCGATGCCGACCAGAGTAACGTCTGGCAGACCACCCAAAAGCTCTGGTCGGCAGCACGACCCGTATGGCAAGCCACGCGTTGTTGGACGTGGCGAAAGGCCGATCGAAGCGATATGATTCGCTGTCAGTTGCTTCTTGATATATTCGACAAGATGCTGCAGATGCGAAGTGCAGATTACGCTCTTGCATGCAGACAGTTGCCAACCATCAGTTGAGATTCGTTGCGTCGAGTGGCGTCGGTTTTGGACTCGACGAGAAGCTCCGGGCATCGAAGGCCAACGAAGCGAGGTGCCACCTAGAGGTCTAGTGTACTTCAAGCACCAAACTGATATACACGTGTGCAACAAGAGCACATGACAAGGACAAGCGGTCAGCCTTTGCTCGCTGACCACTCCAAAATGCAAACCAAGAGTGTTTGCTGGTACTGACCCCATCCTTCTGCTTTTGACGAGTTCCACGTCTCGACGCCTCCGCTCAAAGGCGGTCGAAGACTCTCTCGTATGCACTTGCATCGTCACCGACAAGTTGCGTGTCGGAGTGTCGGAGATTCATGTACACTGTCCCAAGGAGCGACTTGGTGCAGCCCTTGGCACCAACATCAAGAACGCGTTCACCAGCCGTTTTAGCTTCAAGAACCCGTGTATCTAACCTAAAATAATTATATAATTTGACGTCCGTTCGCAAATCTGTGTCCAGCCTTTGCGCAAAGCACATGTTCATGCATCTGCATTATCCCCAGCCGGCTCTAAATTTTGCAGTCCCCAGCTGGCTCTTGGTGTGTTTGGGCCATGAAGCTGCGACGCCGAGAGCCATTGCCGCGACAGAAATGGCTTGTCGTCCTCGCATAGCGTCACTGCACCGGTGCTTGTGCTCGGCCACGCTGTTCCCGTCGCTGCTTTACACAATCATCGCAAGTTCAAGGCGGGGTTCAAATTTGTGTCAATGACTACGTGCAGCGACTGTTCGTAGCTCGGCCTTGATAAAAGCTCCAATAAGTGGGAATACAAAGCTGATGGTTGTCATAGATTACAATGGATTGTGTTTATAATACACTACAGTACAATGCTCTTGGGGTCGCAATAAATAGCCCGGCGACACCTTACTTGGTCTCGGGCGAGGGGCTCGGCGGCTGGTTGCGGAACTCGCGCACGTGCGGCGTGCACATGTTGAGCGTCTTGCCAAGGCGCTTGCAACCGGTCACAGTGCACATCTTGTCCTTGCGGTGGATCTCGCAGAGGCCGCCGCCGCGGTCCGTGCGCACGCAGTCGTCGACCGTGCATGTCCGGCAGCCGCCGTGCTTGGCGCACTTGTTGCCGCGCTGGGCGCCTTTCGTGCAGCCAGGCTCGAGGCAGCGCTTGCCGCCACCGTGCGAGCGGCAGAAACCGCCGCCCTGCGAGCTCTTTTCGCAGCCGTTGAACTTGCAGCGCGCGCCGCCGCCGTGCGCCTTGCAGAGACCTTGGGACTGCGCGGCGTTGGAGCAGCCGTCGATCTTGCAGCACTTGCCACCGCCGTGGCCGATGCAGTAGTTGCCGTTCTGGGCTTCCTTGACGCAGCCGTGCATGCAGCACTGCTTGCCGCCGCCGTGGCGCTTGCAAAAGCCCTTGGAGCGCACGTTGCGGTGGCAGCCTTCGGTCGCGCACGTCTTGCGTCGTGCGGGCTGCGGGAGGTCAATCTCAAAGTCGAACGAGTCGCGGTCCGTGCAGTTGCTAAAGTCGCTTGACGACGCGCTGCTCGAGCGGAAGAGCGGGAGCGGATCGGCGTACGACGAGTGCGCGAGGTGAAGCGGCGCGAGCGGATGGTCCAATGGCAACACCATCATCGAGTGGTGGTCCATCGAGAAGGCGCTGGGAAAGTGGTCGTGGTCGAAGAGCGAGATGAGTTCGTGCTCGTTGAAGAGCGGCGCGGGGTGGAAACCGCCAAACGGGATCGGGTCCAAGTAGCTCGGGATCGGGAACATTGGACAATGTGTGTGTGTTGAGAGGAATTGGGAAATGAACAGCAGACAAAAGCTTGAAACGACGACGACGACGACGGAGGGAAGAAATCGTATGGCTGTCCATTGACTGCCACCAGTTTGTACCAGAGAGAGGGGCAGCCATTTCACTACCTTATATAGCGCCTGATGCCCAGCCACATGGGGTGATCCAAGCAACTGGTTTGGTCCATGAATTTTGGCTCGGCACAGCCTCCCCGCGAGATTCGCAATTTTCCGTAGAGTGGGATGTTGTCTGCAGTGCAAGAAGAAGTACTATGCTTCACCGACCGCATGTTGTCCCACGAGACAAATGTGGTTTCTACACACTGTGGTCATGCCCAACATTGGCGCGTTTGGGCCGCACACTTGCTCTGGATCCTTATAATAACGCCAAAGCGTTGAACTGAAAAAGTGTATATATCTTTGCAGCTGATCTTAGTACAGTGTAGAGGCTGTCCGTTTCGAGTGGTCAGCGTGCAGCCGTGCATTTTGGACCATGTCATCACGCCGCCGAGCCCCATTTCGTACAGAAGCCGTTCGACGAAGCGAAAGGCGAGAAAAGGGTGCTGCTTCGACCGGGTAGCCAGCCACTCGAGAGTGTTTTGAGGCGGCCGTGACAACCTCGACACCACAACGCCGAGTAGAAAATATACGCCCGACTGCGATGAGACGGCAGTTGACGCTGGCCGCGTCATGGACGTGTTGAATAGTTCACAACCAGAGACAAAACTTGTGACCACACATCACGTGTGAGAGAAAACAAGCCATCAGACATGTTCGCAGTTTGTTGACTCTCAATTTTCAACATGATCACAAGTTTTGAGCTTTAGCCCCGCTTGCATTTTGATGCGCATCAGCCTTGCCGAGCACAAATCACGAGGCGCCAATCTACCATGTACTTGTGGCGCCGACCATTGCACTCATACACAGTAGTCTCGGTACCGATATCGGTCGATCCTTGTGGCTTTCTTCCGATGGCCATTGAAGAACTCGACTGCCGCCTTAAATTTTACGCATCAAGCTTTCAAGCATTTTGGCCAGCACGGCGATGATCGCACCAGAGAAATAAGCGAAAACATGTCGCTTCAAGGAAGTGTTCTTGAAGTGCCCCTTGCTTCGCAGATAGGGCGGGTGGACCAAATTTCCAAAACGCTCAAGTCCCACCAGCTATCATTGGCCGCACGGTTGCGGATCCATCGCGCCTCGGCGCCACAAGCTCGCTTTTATGCTGCCATCTACGCTACGCAGCGCGTAAACCAGGTCAAGTGATTGTAGACATGGCCGCCTTGTCTACGAGGTCGTTTCTTTGCTTCTTGAAACCACAGTACTCGGCATGCAGCGTGACTTATGTGCTTCCAAGGACGATCATCCTGCATCAACATACACATCTCGAGCTGCTGCAGCGGTCGACCGACTCGTCGCAATCAACTACGTTTGCGATCGTCACTTGGCTGCTTCTGACGCGGTCATCCGGGCGACCATCCATCGATCATGGTCAAAGTACACCCCTTGACGCGCTGTGAACCCTCGACGCTGCCCTTGTCAGTGCCGTCCCTGCGCTCGCCAAGCAGCCGTTGCGATACGCGTCAACACATGTTGCCTCGAGTAGACAGCGCGCCAATCACAGCATTTTGAGCGACCGACGCACCCGGAAGGTGGGATCCAGATACGTGGGACTGATTGAACACTAATGCAAGCATCGCATGGCGTCTTCGCCTGCGCTCACTTTCGGATGCTCAAATCGCCTCTCTGGCGGCCGCTTCCGACAAATCTACATTGAGCTGCAAAGAAGGACCGGATGACCGCTGGCATTGGATGTACCTACCCCGAAGAACATGGCGCGCACGACCGTGCATCCTAGGTTCAACGCCACGCGCGTGGTGCAAAGACGCTCTCCAAACGAGGTTGTCTGCACTTGGCGTGGCCCATGTGGCACCAACCATCTAGATAGCGTCCGCAACCACACGTCCACAGAGACGCTGCTGGTTCACACCATCCGTCCTGGTCGATCGACAGGTATATATAAACTCGCAGTAGTTATGATGTTGCGGAATAATCCGTGCCTCTTTTGGTCTTGTGTGTGGAAAGCACCTTGTACGAGATCGTCTGGAGAGACCAAGTGGTCGCGCGACATGCCGCACGCTCCAGAGGTGTAACACGCCGATCGTAACAAACCCCAAGTTATATAACACACTCCACGACGTTGCCGACGCAACTGCTACTGCGCCGACGGAACTCGGGTCATTTGCTCTTTTGCACAGCACGACCTACCACAATGCTTGCCGACATGTTCGACCCGATCCCATACGCGACGACGACGGCGCTCAAGACCGAGGCGTTCGATACGTACGAGCTCGACGAGCTCATCCAGCACACGAGCTTCATCGACGACGCCCAGGCCTACTATCCGTCGTACCCGCACCACTACATGCAAGCTGCGTATACGCCTTTCCAAGCCATCAGCTACCAGTGCTTGCCCGTCCCGCTCACCCGCACGACGACCGAAATGAGCGATTCGAGCGCGTGCACCGACCACGACCAGTACTGCCCACCGCGAAAGCTCTGCGCCATCTTTGGCTGCCACCGCAACGTGCGCTCCAAGGGCTTTTGCAAGCGCCACGGCGGCGGCAAGCAGTGCTGCATGCACGGCTGCGTCAAGGAAGCCCAGAACGGCAACTACTGCATCGGCCACGGCGGTGGCAAGTGCTGCAAGATCGACGGCTGCTCCAACGCCGCGCAGTCCCAAGGTCTCTGCAAG